GCAAGCCATGACAGAGAACAACATATCCGTACACGTTCGCGGGTATTTTCTAACATCTAATTTACGTACTAAATTCCAATTTCATACGGTAGTGAAAATAATAACGGATTGAGAAAACGCACTAAGTATACGTATCGGAATTAAAATCATCTAATTTTCCGTCAGTCGTGGTGCAGTTGAAACTAAGCAAGCAGAAACCCAACACAGCTGCTTCGTTATATGCGTATTCTCTGTTTCATTAGCGAAATATACTGAACTGCAGAGTAAACAGCTACAGACGCAACGAGGAAAACATTCTTTACATACACAAGAGGACCGCCCACGCTCTTTTATCCATATAATATCTGCATACACAGTCATATAGATAGTATTAATATATATTCATTATATATATATATTATATCAAGAGCTAATAATACTGAGTACGAGTACGTAAGAGCGGGTATGGGTTTAGGAGAGGCCAGGGATCTAAGAGAGGTCTTGGGTTTAGGAGGCACTGGGTCTACGAGAGGCCATCAATTGGTCTAAGAGAAACACTGGGTCTAGGAGAGGCCATTGGTCTAAGAGAGGCACTGGGTATAGGAGAGGCCATTGGTCTAAGGCAAGGGAGGCACTTGATATAAGAGAGGCCCTGCGTATATGAGAGGCCCTACGTATAAGAGAGACCCTAGGTCTAAGAGGCCCTGGGTATAAGAGAAGCCTTGGGTCTGGGAGAGGCCCTGGGTCTAAGAGAGGGTCTGGGTCTAAGAGAGGACTTGGTTTTAGGAGAGACCCTGGGTCTAGGAGAGGCCATGGGTATAGGTGAAGACGTGTGTCTAAGAAAGGCACTGGATATAGGAGAGGCCCTGGGTATAGGAGAGGCCCGGGTATAGGAGAGGCCCTGGGTATAGGAGAGGCACTGGATATAGGAGAGGCCCCAGATCTAGGATAGGGTCTGGGTATAGGAGAGGCCATGGGTCTAGGAGAGGTCCTGGGTCTAGGAGAGGCCCTGGGTATAGGAGAGGCAGTGTGTCCAAGAGAGGCACTGGGTATAGAAGAGGCCCTGGGTATAAGAGAGGTCTGGGGTATAGGAGAGGCCCTGGGTATAGGAGAGGCCCTGGGTATAGAAGAGGCAGTGTGTCTAAGAGAGGCACTGAGTATAGGAGAGGCCCTGGGTATAAGAGAGATCCTGGGTATAGGAGAGGCCCTGGGTCTATGAGAGGCCCTGGGTATAGCAGAGGCCCTGGGTAAAGGAGAGGCCCTGCGTATAAGAGAGGCCCTGGGTATAGGAGAGGTCATTGGTCTAGGAGAGGCACTTGAACTAGGAGAGGCCCTGGGTATAAGAGATACCCTGAGTCTAGGAGAGGCCCTGGGTATAGGAGAGGCCCTTGGTATAGAAGCCTTGGGTCTGCAAGTGGCTTTGGGTATAGGAGAGGCCCTGCATCTAACAGAGGGTCTGGGTCTAAGAGGGTATGGGTCTAAGAGAGGCACTGGATCTAAGAGAGACCCTGGGTCTAGGAGAGACGCTGGGTATAGGAGAGGCTGTGTGTCTAAGGGAAGCACTGGGTATAGGAGAAGCCCTGGAAATAGCAGAGGCCCTAGGTATAGCATAGGCCCTGAGCATAGGAGAGACACTGGGTATAGGAGAGGTTATTGGTATAGGAGATACCCTGGGTCTAAGAGAAGCCCTGGGTCTAGCAGAGGGTCTGGGTATAGGAGATGCGCGTCTAGGAAAGAGGCTGGGTATAGGAGAGACCCTGGATATAAGAGAGGTCCTGGGTCTAGGAGAGGCCCTGGGTATAAGCGAAGCCCTGCGTATGAGAGGCCCTGGGTATAGGAGATGCCCTGAGTCTAGGAGAGGCCCTGGGTATAAACGAGGTCCTGGGTATAGAAGCATTGGGTCTGCAGTGGCCTTGGGTATAGGAGAGCCCCTGGATCTAAGAGAGGGTCTGGGTCTAAGAGAGGGGCTGGGTCTAAGAGAGGCCCTGAATCTAGGAGAGACCCTGGGTCTAAGAGAGACGCTGAGTATAGGAGAGGATGTGTGTCTATACGAGGCACTGGGTATAGGAATGGCCATGGATTAAGCAGATGCCCTAGGTATAGCATAGGCCCTGAGTATAGGAAAGGCACTGGGTATAGGAGAGGTCATTGGTCTAGGAGAGACCCTGGGTCTAGGAGAAGCCTTGGGTATAGGAGAGGCCCTGGGTATAGGGGAAGCCCTGGGTCTAAGAGAGTGTCTGGGTCTAAGAGAGGCCCTGGGTCTAGCAGAGGGTCTGTGTATAGGAGATGCCCTGGATCTAGGAGAGACCCTGGGTCTAGGAGTGACCCTAGGTATAGGAGAGGCACTGGGTATAGGCGAGGCCCTGGGTCTAGGAGAGCCCCTGGGTATAAGAGGTCCTGGGTCTAGGAGAGGCCCTGGGTATAGCAGAGGCCCTGGGTATAAGAATATAAGAAAGGCCCTGTGTATAAGAGAGACCATGGGTATAGAAGAGGACATTGGTCTAGGAGAGGCACTGGGTATAGGAGAGGCCCTGGGTCTAGGAGAGACGCTGGGTATAGGAGAGGCCCTGGGTATAAGAGAGGTCCTGGGTCTAGGAGAGGCCCTGGGTATAGGAGAGGACATTGGTCTAGGAGAGACACTTGATCTAGGAGAGGCCCTGTGTATAGGAGAGGCCCTGATTATAGGAGAGGCCCTGGGTATAAAAGAGGCCCTGGGTATAGGAGAGGCCCTGGGTATAAGAGAGGCCCTGGGTCTAGGAGAGGCCCTGGGTATAGCAGAGGCCCTGGGTATAAGAGAGGCCCTGCGTATAAGAGAGGTCCTGGGTATAGGAGAGGTCATGGGTCTAGGAGAGGCACTTGATCTAGGAGAGGCCCTGGGTATAGGAGAGGCCCTGGGTATAGAAGCATTGGGTCTGCAAGTGGCCTTGGGTATAGGAGAGGCCCTGGATCTAAGAGAGGGTCTGGGTCTAAGAGAGGGTCTGAGTCTAAGAGAGGCCCTGGATCTAGGAGAGACCCTGGGTCTAAGAGAGACGCTGGGTATAGGAGAGGCTGTGTGTCTAAGAGAGGCACTGGGTATAGGAGAGGCCCTGGATTAAGCAGAGACCCTAGGTATAGCATAGGCCCTGAGTATAGGAGAGGCACTGGGTATAGAAAAGGCACTGGGTACAGGAGAAGCACTGGGTATAGGAGAGGCACTGGGTATAGGAGAGACACTTGGTCTAGGAGAGGCATTGGGTATAGGAGTGACCCTGTGTATAGCAGAGGCACTGGGTATAGGCGAGACCCTGGGTCTTGGAGTGACCCTGGGTATAGGAGAGGCACTGGGTATAGGAGAGGCACTGGGTATAGGAGAGGCACTGGGTATAGGAGAAGCCCTGGGTCTAGGAGAGACGCTGGGTATAGGAAAGACACTGGGTATAGGAGAGGCCCTAGGTATAGGAGAGGCCCTGGGTATAGTAGAGGCCCTGGGGGTTGTAGTCGGAAATGTGCTGTCTCCTACACATACATCATCGATCACATACGTCACACACTTAAACGTGGACTGCACCGACTTTATGGAGCGCACTCCCAGATTAGACTTTGCAGCAAAAGCTTCACGGCAGCATCACATGGTCCTTCGGCCAACAGTAACCCAGCAGGCCATGCTCGTTATTCGTGCACCGATCGAAATATACCAGAATCTGCCAATCGAAACGCGACGTACTTTTTTGTTTCAAAACAAACATCTTTCCAAAACAGACTCTATATAATTTATGATTCAAGACATATATAGCGCATTGTGCACTTTAGCTACCGAGTTTACCATATGTGACATGCGTGTATGCGTACGCAAACTGCGCGTCATTACACACGTAAATGCGTTACCAGTTCTATGTTGACATGGGGAAGAACAACTGCCCCGGTAAATGGGAAAATCAAACTGGCAAAAGGTTTCCACTCACGGAAATGTGTTAGCAATCGCATCTTAGTCTTAATGTGAGCGGGAAGCAAGAGTGCCCATGTCGACAAAAAAAAACACAAAAAAAGTAACCGGCAATTGAAGTTACTGCTGAGCTACAAAGTGCCACTAGTCACGTAGATTAAGTCAATTAGTACAATCAGTGAAATCACACTGTTCCACCTCACGTTGTGTGGAATTGCCATGATCGCGTGACAGGAATCAGTAATTTTTACTTTCACTTTTATTTTCACATTCAGTAATGGTTATTCAGTTTTCTGGTCACGTTTACTTTCACGTTCGGTAATAATTATTTCACCGTCAATGACCCATACACATCCACCTGCACACACGACAAGCTGCTCCAGGATATACAGCTAAACTCACTCGTACATGCAGGCTTTCCAGCAGTCCTTGACAATATTTTAGGGCTAATTTTAGGGAAAAATTCTGTTTTTTTAGGGCTATTTTAGGAATTTTTAGGGATGAATCGAAACATTTTAGGGATAAAATAAGTCACTTACCTTTCATAATCATCAACGTGTTAACTTACAGATACAGTTCTATGTGGTATGTGTCCAGTCTACCAGCTATTCCTATCCTCCAAGTCCTCGATACGACTGTACATCATCAAGTTTCATGCAAATTAGGCATGTCTTGTACATCCAGCCAGAAACAGGGTCGTATAATCAGACACTGAAGCTTAGGAATCACTGGTAGACTGAGTCACAATACTCATTCTGTATAAAGATAACTAGAAAACATCCATTACTGATTAGAAATAATTACAAACCAAAAGTTCATCTTCTCATCACCAAAAACTCCAAACATATCTGTGGTATTTTTTTTTAGGAATTTGAATAAAATTTTCGCCCTTTTTTAGGAATTTCATACATTTTTAAAGCTTTTTTTAGGAATTTTAGGACGAGCTCAAAATTTTAGGAATTTTTAGGAATTTTAGGGCTGCTGGAAAGCGTAACATGCACACCTGCACACATGACCAACTACTCCAGCATATATCGCCAAAATTCACTCGGACACACCCACATGCACACATGACCAGCTCCTCTGCGACTGCACTTACCTGCACAGCAAGCACGTCATCTTGCCAGTTGAAGGCGACCGCCAGCGAGATCTGCGTGGCGGCTAGCAGCACCGACGACGTGAGTGCGACAATCATGCCGACCGGCAGCAGAGTGCACGACATGTATACAAAGAAGAGCGTCTCCCAGACGCCCGCAGACGGCGTCGGCGGCGTCGCCGTGGCAACCATGAGGCAGACGATGGCGAGCATCGCCGCGACGATCGCGCCGTCGGCGGCGGCGACGAGGCAGCGCAGCACGGCGTCGCGGTTGCACGCGAGCTGCAGCGCGACGAGGGCGAGCGCGATCGCGCCGAGCGTGACTCCGCGCGCCGCCGACGTCCCACCGAGCGCGTAGTAGGTAGCGGCGAGGCCGACGCAGAGTGCGATCTGCGTCGCGACCAGTGCCGACATGCAGCTCTGGTTCAGCCGCAAGAAGTAGCGGCCGTAGAGCAGCTCAAGCGCGCCGTTGTGGAACTTGCGAGTGCGGAACACCTTCGCCATGACCGCAAACGTGCTCTCGCACGAGCCGTCGTGGCCGAGGATGGACTCGCCGTCCGAGGCCGCTGATGCCGCCGTCTCCGCCGCCGCCGCTTCGCTCAGCTTGAGGTTTGCGATGTTGCTGCCGCTGCCGCCGCGTTGGCTCTGCGCGAGCACCTGCTGGTCATGCTGCTCCTTGACACGCTCCCACGCAGACTGCTTGCGCGCAAGCGCCCCGCCGCCGCTACCATTGCTGTTCTCGACCGGTGCCACCTTTGCGGTGCGCTGCGCCATGATTTCCTTGCGCTGATTAGCTCCCTCTGGACGCACGGGTCGGGCCTCAGCTTCTGTCTGCAGGAGAGTCCTCCGCATCGTTACCATGGCGAGCGGTGGACATGGTTAGCGTCGGGTGCCTGCGAACAGACCCAGAAGGTATCATTAGTGCCGGAAATTTGGAGCGCAGCGCGTCGCGAAAAACGATCCAGCGCGGCACCATCTATGAGCAATCGGAACAAGTGACGACAATTGAGCGTCCGGTCACCCGAGCCACCCTGAAGCCACCTGGGGTATCGCTTCGCGAAGGTTCCCTGAGGACGATGTAAATAGACACGTAAGTTTTCAAAAGCACACGAGATGATGCAGGGGAGGTTTGAAATGGTACACTATATAGATGATATCAAGAGCGTATTAAGAAGGAGAGCGTACAACGGTGAAATGCTGAAACCATGGTGCAGTATTAGTCGAATTAAGAAACTTTGCCCGTTTTATTTTGACGATTCTTTGTCCTACCTTACTAATATAAAACAAACCGCTTGTCCCTACGATGCTCCTACGCTGAGATAATGAGCGGTGAAAGTCTGGTATTTTTGGCGAAAACCGACTCGAGATACCTGTTAGCTGCGACCCTCTCTCGCTTTGAGATAGCTTCGACAAACATCGTGTGTTTCCGTCAATGATTGACAAATGGAATGAATTGTTATTGATTGCCATAGTGATGACCCCCACCTGTGCCCACCTCACGCTGGATGTAGTAATCTCTGTAGTACTGACGTAATGAGTCAGCGCTACCATGGCGCGACACAGCAGCGACCGGAAGCAACATACTGACCATAAAACGAGAGGGTCGCAGCTAACTAGTATCTCGAGTCGGTTTTCGGCAAAAATACCAGATATTCACCGCTCATTATCTCAGCGTAGGAGCATCGTAGAGACAAGCGGTTTGTTTTATATAAGTAAGGTAGAACATCTGATCAATCCGCAAATAATCGTCAAAATAAAATGGGCAAAGTTTCTTAATTCGACTAATACTGCAACATGGTTTCAGCATTTCACCGTTGTACGCTCTCCTTCTTAATACGCTCTTGATGATATCAAGTATTGACAAGATACAACACAATAGAAGAAAGCAACAGCAGCTGTTTCGTCAATTCGCCTGAGGAGCACACGTCTCTCACGCGCAAGGTTAGTCGCTAACCCAAGTCTTACAGCAGAGAGCTACCTGACATGAGCAGCCAATCTGGGTTTTGAAGGCCCTGCGCCTTGTCGCGTGGTTAAGGATTAATGTTAGGGCTATGGGAAAGGGCTATGGGAAAAGGGGGGTTTGAGATGAAGTTTAGGGCTAAGGTTATGTTAATGTTGGGTTTCGGGTTAGAGTAGGAGATTGATTTATGCCTAGAGTTAGGATTAAGGTCTTGAATGTATATATCACGCATAACGCTGTACTACTGAGACACATAAACAAATTATTAACCTGTTTCCTAATGCTAAAACCTCACGTCAACTGATATGCGTTGCCGCAGTTCCCTCGTTCCAGCGTGAAAACCTCGCACTATGTACGCCACGCAAGACAAGCCGCCACAAATACACACGCACACTGCCACGCACAGCACGCACGCACAGCAGACACACACTACACGCAACGCAGACGCTGTACACGCTCCGACACTCCACGCGGCATCCGGCACGCACGCCAGGCCACGCAACGCACACACCCGGCTCGCAGCACCGCACCACACGCATACCGCGCCGACAGCAACCGCACAGCTAATCACGCACGCACGCAGCAGCACGCACGCACACGCACACACACACACACACACACACAACACACACACGCACGTGTGAACTATCCGTTTCTGGCGTGTTAAACCGAGACGCCCACCGACGTTTTCTGACAATTCGGATCAGTTTAAGTATCAGCTTACACATGGACAAGATAAAAATGTCATAATGAACCACATGATTACTGCAAGTGCTATCGTCTTGCAGCGTTTCCAGTTATTACAAAGCGTTCACTCAAAAAACGCACTAGAAGTAACTTTGGGTGGGTTTTATTTGGGGAATTATGTTGCGATGCGTTCACCTTAGCATTAACACGCATATTATGCGCGTAATATTTGCGGTGAACCACGTGTCCTGGCTCGAACAGCACGTATACGCGATTTTCATTGCAACTACTTTCCGCAGTAGTGTCTTATCACACCCGACGTCACCGAACATTGATCGTGTGTTTTACACATTGAAAGTGTCTTGCTCTACGCGCATTGCTACACGAGTCAACAGAAGACACATTCAGTGAGCTTTTTTAGCAATAAAAAATATAATTAACGATTAAATCATATACAGCTTACGAAAAAGACATAATTACGATTATATAAATTAAGCGAAATACATTATCGAACGTTAATGTATCGGGATTTTTTGACAGGATTCTTAAAAGGTCGGCTCTGGTCGCAGATTTTCACTGGATGTTGTCAAATGAGCAGATTTTCTTCGACGGGAAACAAAAGAGCGGAATTAAGATACCAGTAATGGGCCAAGCGCGAAAAAGATCGCGTGGATTGAGAGAGAAGAATGTATCATCTGTATGTACGTCTGCTACATTTTATGTACGTGCTACTCACTCAATTACCATTGACTCCGCCTGACTAAAGTGTCACCGAGTCTTAGCATATTTGCAGTTATCTGGAACGGAGAATTAATGTTTTTAGCATATTACTGCAAGGACTCGCGACGCAATACTGCAGAGCAGTGAACGGACATTGTAGATAACATCGGTCCAATAAGCGTGGTGGGATTGAAGTGCAATATTACAGGCTGCTTAACTTATGCGAGTTACAGCAGGGCAGTAGCCTTTGATATTCATAGTTTCATACAGCAACCAAGTGGCCAACAACAAACAACAGGTAACAACCAGCACCACAACAATACAACACGATGAACACAACGCTCCATAAATATACCTAAGTTTATACCACATGCATTGCTGCGGATAAGATGGGGCTTCACAAGAACTGTTACTGATAAACGTTAGAGTTCTGTGAACGTCCTCTAAAACAACTTTCGCAAATCTCAACAAAATCGCCGAGCAAATAAGGCTCTAATTAGTGGACTTATCGCATTGCCTCGCATCTGAAACGGCTTATGAAACTGGCTAGGAATACAGCCAGAGTGTTCACAAAAACAAAAAATCTCAGATTAGAAAGCCAAGATGAATGTACCATATTTACACATGCACTTATATCAGGTAATTGAATACGAGATGTTCTCTATGATTGTGACTCTTGATATCATTCATAAACACACATGTACAACACGCACGCACACGCGAACGCGAGCGCGCGCAACACGCCACACATACAAGCATAATGGTTTCTATGCCGCGTCACGATGGTGTTGCCGTCTATGGTTGGCCACGGTGCGACAAAATCAATGAATATTATGACTACATATTTCATGGTCACCATAAATCCATATTTATGCGTCACCATAATCGCAGATGGAAGCGAGGATTATATCCCGGATATAATCGAAGCCAATCAATCAAGGATTATGTCCACCTAAATAACTTCCGTCCCCGTTTTGACCGTCTAGACGCATTGTCTGGTTGCTTGATAAATGTAATTGACAGATATGCTAGCGCTTGGCAAATTATGTATGGCTGCGCCCGCTGAGTTTTCACGTCTGGCTAGGCTGGTTCGCGCCGAACTGTCGTCGCAGGAGCGTGGTTACATTGTCTGTAGAAGAGCGTCTGGGCCGGATACCGAGTCCCAATCATATGCAATTGTAAAACGGGAGAAGTTATTTTTGATGAGTGGACATATTCTATTTGACTTTTTGATTGGCTTCGATTATATCGGGCATATGAATTCCTCGTCCCTTGGTCGATTTTATGGAGGTGACCATAATATGATTTTGGTGACCTAAATATGTATTTTTTGTCACGTGGCACATTAGACGTCCAGATGTGAAATAAATCGTTCGCGTGTTCCAGTATCGAACTAAATTGGCGATCGCATTAGCGCGGCCTTGCATCGAGTCTCGCACGCGTTCTGTTGTATTTTCATGACACATTTTCAACTATATTTTCAGCAAGCAACCGGATCACGGCGCGTCGTTTTTGCCATATCGATTAGACGGTTTTTCGGTTTGCGTCGCGAACGAGGCAATTTTTGGAGCATTTGCGGATAACACTGCGATTTCATTTAGTAACGATCCGCAACATACTCCCGGCGTAGAAGCAGAGCAATAACTACGTAGCGTTATTAAGTAGCTTATTACAATATAAACGTATATAAGTAGCGCATTTTACATTAATAATAGCACAAATGAATAAGTAGGCGTTTACATATATTCATATCATGATAATATATACATATCATTCTATATAATACAAATTCAGGACTCGCGAAATATAATAGACATTTTCTAGACATAGATGTCTCCTGAGTCCTGACTTATTATACATTATAAATGTATCTTGAATAAATACAGAAATGTGACTGACGACAGGGAGATCCGCGCGGGTTCACTGTCTTTTATCGTTTTTTGATGAGTGCGGAACTGCACGCACGGTAGTGATTTCATCAAGGTTTTGCCAGGAAAATGATAAGAAGTTTACATCACCCGATTCTTGAAAACTCATCTACTTGTGTGTCGTTCGTTCGTTCGTTCGTGCGTGCGTGCGTGCGTGCTATGTGTGGAAGAGGGGGGCGATTACAATTCAGGGACTTGTGCAACGCACTCGCTATTCGACTAAATCTTCAATTGCCTATGTTCCGTCAGCGGTACACAATAGGACGTGTAGATTATGGAGTAGGTTACGCCTGATTATACGCTCCCGGATCCACTGTTGAATAAAAAAGTGACATCTTAATTAGCATTATCCTGGCGTTACGCAGCTTGAACTAACCAAATGGCTTCGTGCATGAGTGTCGAGGTAAGCGTCGCAGGAGAGCACGTTTTTACGGTGTAGCCGAGATGACCTTTAGCGCGCAAGCTGTTCGTCATGACTGATTTCGCTTACGAATCATTGATTTCGTAACGAAATCATTGCTCTACAAAGTGTATTTCGTTACCGAAATCGTCTGACA